TAAATTCACCAACCACTCAGACGCCATTTAAGTTATATAATAAATATATGTATTCTCTCATTAAATAGGGTCAATGTCGTTCACTTACCAAGACTTAAGTTGAAACATAAAACAACAATCCAAGGCAGCGAAGACATTTTGAGAGTGATGAGCTGAAAAATAGCTAACCCTAGTGCTTTCAAACTATACACCAATCGGAAGAATCATGATAGCATGATGATTCGCGCGTGTCATTCACGTGCTATGTAGCACCCATTGTTTGAGCTAATGTACACTTCATGACGTCACTGTCCGTTTGCTGTAAATGGCGTGAACAACTGTTCCATTACGTGTAGCTTCATTATGTCACGTGAAAGAAGAGAAAATATTTTGTTTTGTTTTGGTTCAATATTTCGAGGAGTATCGATGAGCTGATCCGACTCAAGTTGATTGGGGTTGTCTGATATCAAACTGCAGGGTACGAACTGAAGACTTATCGATCGAAACGTTCCCTCTGTTTTAGGGGACTATACGCTTAATAAATGCCATGCTACAATGAAAAGATCATGTCTGCACTTCTCTGTTGTGCCGCTGAAATGAGAGTACCTTTCAACAAATATTTTGTACTTCAAAAGGTTAACATTAGAAAAAAAGGTATCTGTTCAAATAGGTTGATACACATATTTCGATGAGATGATCGACTCAGTTGGGTTGGATGGTCTGCTTAAACTAGGGCATTGAAATTAAAGACTTACAGCTCAAATCGTTTGCCCTTTTATAAATAGTTTATAACCTTACCAAAAGACGCGATCACTTCTCTCTTTCAAAATGCATGCCATTAAAGGTAGATACTTTTATATTTCAATAACGGTTTGATGATTGTTTTGAATTTAACAAGAAACACGTTATTAGTCAATAATATTATTTCAGCATTAGAATGTTGTTTTCCTATTAAAGATCTTTGGAATTTTTAAAGTAATCTGGATGCTGAATCAAATATTAGTAAGGTATAGTTTACGTCAATTCATTCACACAAAAATGTGACCAGCTGTAAGAAAGCTATGGTGTACCATTCTAAGCTATTGAAAAATATAAAGTTCAGTGACACTTGTGAGAACTTAATTGCTGAATTCGTCATGGTCCTTAGATAACTTAAGAGTTCTAATATATATATATATATATATCCACTGGCCGAGCTTGTAATTGGTGAAGATATAATGAAATAGTTAAGCACTGTTAGACGTTTTAGAAGAAAAAAAATTGGTACCAGGGAAATAGATGCCCTCAAATGACGAAGAATAGACAAAATTAAAAGGACACCGGCTTCTAATCACAGGGTTTTGTTTCAAATCATACGATTAGATTTGACGGAAATTTATATATATTGAGCGGTACGCAGTGACTAATTCGTTAGTGACTAACCTTTTAGTGACTAATCTGTTAGTGACTAATATGTCAGTGACTAATCTGTTAGTGACTAACCTTTTAGTGATTAATCTGTTTGTGACTAACCTTTTAGTGACTAATCTGTTAGTGACTAACCTTTTAGTGACTAATCTGTTAGTGACTAATCTGTCAGTGACTAATATGTTAGTGACTAACCTTTTAGTGACTAATCTGTTAGTGACTAATCTGTTAGTGACTAATATGTTAGTGACTAATCTGTTAGTGACTAACCTTTTAGTGATTAATCTGTTAGTGACTAACCTTTTAGTGACTAATCTGTTAGTGACTAATCTGTCAGTGACTAATCTGTTAGTGACTAATCTGTTAGTGACTAATATTTTAGTGACTTACCTTTTAGTGATTAATCTGTTAGTGACTAACCTTTTAGTGACTAATCTGTTAGTGACTAATCTGTTAGTGACTAATCTGTAAGTGTCTAATCTTTTATTGACTAACCTGTCAGTGACTATTCTGTTAGTGACTAACCTGTTAGTGACTAATCTGTTTGTGACTAATCGGTTGCTTCACAAGGCACTAATAACATCAATCTTCCTCATAACCTAAATCACTATAGGACAAAATTTGTGCAATGTTTCTATACTGTTTACTACAGCCCAGGTACATCGTGAGTACACGTTATTTGTTTGGTATGAGCTCACCACGGTTCACAGTTTGGCAATAGAATAATTGGACTACAGAAGCCGTCAGGACATCCGGATAAGTAAATGCCTTATGAGTGGGATAATTATGCGACTGTTGGCTGACTGCAAGCAGACACTCCCCGCATTTTTGGGGGAAAACGAGCTGATGAAATCAAATTTTGTCTTAAGTCATCCCACTTATGGCCTTAATTCTAAATAATATACATGCGAGTCAGCTTGAGGGTTCATCTCAAAAGCAATCTAAAGGCAGGGGAATGATTCAACTACATTCTACTATATTGCTTTTAGGATGTGGAACGTGGACAAACTACCAGCTTCACGCCAAGAAACTAAACCACTTTCACACAACCTGCCTCAGAAAACTCTAAGGCGTCAGGTGGCACGGCAAAGTGGCTGACGCTGAGGTCCTCGCTAGAGCGAACCTACCAAGCATCTTCACCACCCTGATGTAGTTTCAACTCTGGACACGTAGTCCGTATGGAAGACAACCGACTCCATAAACAGCTGTTCTTCGGTGAACTCTGGGTAGGCAAGCGCTCCCAAGGAGGTCCAAAAAAGCGTTACAAAGACTCACTGAAAGCGGCACTAAAGGCCTTCAGCATCAACCCTACTAAATGGGTGCAGACAGCCCAGAACAGAGCCAAGAAGGGGGCTTAATCTAATGAAGCCAGTAGGAGAGCAACAGCTAAGACACGCAGGCTTGCCCACGAAAGCAACCATAGACCACCAACCACAGCAACTATACCCTGCCCGTGGTGCCAGAGACTAATCCGATAACGGGTCGGACTAGCAAGCCACCTACGCACTCGCCGTGACCCACCCCTACCCTAACCGGATGGCTAGATGGTCATTGTCGATTTTGACGAACGAAAAACACAACTATATTTATATTCTCCCATACATCGTAGCGAAGCATGGTATTTAAGCTATTTCATTCAAAGCCTGTTAAATGAAAAAAATAAAATGTTGAACCATGTTTTTGTTATGAAATATGATATGGAAACTGTAATTATAAAGAACCTTTTCGATTTTTCTCATGTTTCTATAAGTCACTGTGGTATTCCTTAAATGTTATGAAATCAGATTTAAAGTTACTAATGCGTTGAGGAGGTTCTACAATGTATTTCTCTTCGAGTAGACAATTTAATTAAGTTACAAAAAAAAAAAAAAAAAAAAAAAAAAAAAAAAAAATTTAAAAAAAGAAAAAAAAAAAAAAAAAAAAAAAAAAAAAAAAAAGAGAGAGCTTGATACGTTAATTATTGCCAATAGGCCTCACTGGGTAAAAATTAGTTTTTAAAAATTCCTCATTTAAATTTCGTTGGATTGCAAAATAATATCCACATATTTTGTGTAGAGGTGAAGTTGGTTTCCCTTCGACAACCCATTTTAATTGGACAGTCTTTGAAATAAATTTGGTTTGTTTTCGAACATAAAATACTCAATATTTGTTTGCATTGTGGAGAATGTAGAAGAAAAAAAATATCCACGATATAAAACAAATTATAAATGACATGAATACTTCTTTTTAAAAAAAAAAAAAAATTTAAAAATCACTAAAATGTATATTTCTCAAAATCTTAATTTTCAAAGTTTTTATCAAAATATATCACTTGACCATGTCTGTTGATGCACAATGTAATTAAAAAGTCGCTTTAACCAATGACTCCTCCTAGCTAGGGATTTTTGTCTCTTGGTTTTTTTTTAAATTTACTTTTGACTTTTAACTTAAGCAGTTTTATAGTGTATCTTGTTTCATCATTTGAAGGCCTCGCCCAAACATTTAGCATAGAGTTTATTGTACCCAATAGTGTGCAAAGACTTTACCGTACCCAATAGTGTGCATACACTTTATTGTACCCAATAGTGTGAAAAGACTTTACCGTACCCAATAGTGTGCATACACTTTATTGTACCCAATAGTGTGAAAAGACTTTACCGTACCCAATAGTGTGCATACACTTTATTGTACCCACTATTGTGCATGATCGTCGATGTAACTGTGATGTTAATTTCAAAATTGTAATTATTGGGTAAATATGGCTTATCCTTTCCAATAAATTAATAAGTCGTCACCCTTATTTATTCTCCTAACAGAGAGATGAATCAATAAAACCTTTCAACAGTTGATTGAGTCCTCATGAACTCGGCAAGGGCTACAACAGTTGATTGAGTCCTCATGAACTCGGCAAGGGCTACAACAGTTGATTGAGTCCTCATGAACTCGGCAAGGGCTACAACAGTTGATTGAGTCCTCATGAACTCGGCAAGGGCTACAACAGTTGATTGAGTCCTCATGAACTCGGCAAGGGCTACAACAGTTGATTGAGTCCTCATGAACTCGGCAAGGGCTACAACAGTTGATAACATGGAAAGGACATGAGCGGAACAAAGAACTTGGGGGGGGGGGGGGCAGGAGAGGGCGCTACATGCAACGAACGTGTCGTCAAGAAGCCTTCTCCAGCAACCGTTAGCTGCAATGTACTGGCCTAGAGGTCGTCGCTCACTTCATTTTACCTAACATGATTGCAGTCTCCCCCACCCCCCATTTTTATTGTTATGGGTAACATGCAGAAAAGTTGTTGTGGATACTTATGGATTGTTTAAATTAATGGGGTGGCTGGCAACCATTTTGGGTAAAAATAGCCATGACATAATTTATATATTTGTTAGTTTGTTTTTTTATCTAGGGAGTTACCGGTAGGGACAGTTTATTGGTGACAAGAGCCTTATTCCTCCACTCGGAGAGCTACAATGGTCTCTGGGTCAGAAGGTTGTTTGGCGCTATAAAAATGCTTTGTGTACACACAAAATAATGCGAATTAAAATATTTGAATTTCCAACAGCGCTACAAGTAAATTGACTAAGAAAAAGAAGAAAAAAAACTTCTGTTAAGATATTGTTTTATTTGACATAGCCTGTTACTTTATTTAATAGGGCGACTTTTTTTATCTTTCATTGCAGAAAATCGAATAAACATTGTTGGCGCAGGCGTTTTCATTCGATCCTAGAGAAAGCCGATGGTGTATTCATACCAGGAATTTCCAATGTCATTACAGAATGTTGTGCCTTTCTGAAAATATTACAAAAATAAATGAAAAAACACACAGTTACAAAAAGTCTTTGACTTTTTTTATCGTATTAAAATTGCAATAAAATTAATTACATCCCCTCAAAAATATGTCGTAAAAGTTAATAGCTCTGTGATATTACTGAAGTGATTAGATGTGCAATGTGCTACCGTGGGCTTAGTTTCATACTTTTAGTTTAATGCTTTTTAAAAGAATTGATATTTTTAAAACAAGTTTTTATTAACCATAAAGTTGTTTGGCATCTGCATGTGTTTTTATTTTAATGTTTGTGTTTAAAATTAAGTTTAGGTTGTTGTTTTTTTTAATCAAATAAAAAAATTACAATACATAATGACATGTACCTCCATAAAAATTGAATGGGCGACAACAAATAGGACAGCACTGGCCCTTCACAAAGACAGGGTCTTTACACGGAAGTTTATCACACTTTTGGATCTCACAATGAACTTGTCTGGTGGTCAGGCCGCAAGTGCAGATGGAGCAATCATCAGGCTTGAATTTAGCTCCTAGCTGAAGATGGTTTTAGGACCGTAGAAACTAGTTTCATGTCGAAATGTGATTCAAAGATTTGGACGGGACAGAAAATAAACTCTTGCATATTTCAAACTTTGATTTATTTTTATGTAGTTATTGGTGGAGCTCCTCAAACGTACCGGAAGTGACATCATTTTTTTAAAATAAAGGAATATCAAATGGATTTCTGGATAAACGCTTACGTGTGACGTCATTTTGTATACATTCACATTTTAAGAGAATAAACTTACTCTTATATCTCGTTTTGCAGTATTTTTTTTTCTTCATAACTTTTTGGTCTTCTTAATTTTGAAATAGAGTGTGAAAATACCTTGTCATTTTCATTCTTAAAAATTATTGAATGTCAGTTGCTGGCCAACTTCATACTCACTGCCTCAAGTAAAGGAGTACAGCATAGAAGAGAAAAATTGTGTGACTAATTTTAAAAATAAAATCCAAATTGATGGAACCACAACGTTAATAATTTTAGAATATTTTCTTTTTTGTATTACTTCCCCGATGAATTAAAACAACAGATGACAAAAAAATGTCATTTTTTTTATTATTTAGCTTTGCTTCATTTATTTGAAAATCACATAATCGATAGTGAGAAGCCATGTCTGACACTCGATGGCTGGTGTAACTAAATAGTCTCTAACATATAACTTTAAATAGTTGTTTGGTTTATACATTAGAAACTGTTAGACTAATGTTATAGGGAATAAACGTAAAATGACCATCATATGAAAGCTAAACACTTGATTGCAATATATTACAAAAATCCTTCTTTTCTTATAAGTCTTTATGCCTACAGTTCAATAGCATCAAGGCCAACTTTGAAAAGCAAAACACAAATCTATATATTTTTTTCTAAACACAAATTCGTTTGTTTTGTTTTTTCAATCTCATTAATCTACTTAAAAGCTTTATGGCAGTGCACCCCTCTCATAGCAAATACTTACTGGGTATTTCTTTCTGATATACGTGCAGAACTTTCCCTTTCTGACCCTACTGTCCGCATCTGACTTCTGCAAATCGTTTTGTTTCGGGTCTCCCAGTGCACCCAGGCAATGTAAGATGACGGCCACTATACAGATTTTCAGGAGCATGGCTGGGTCAGTAAGGCTTAGCCACAGCAAAGACGTTAGTAGAGAGCTATAGCAGCGAGACGTAACCTTTAAACGGGATCAGCATAAAAAAAAACTGATCAGGCCAGCAGTAAAATAAAACACAGGGGTTCTTAAAAAAATAGTTTTGCTCCAAATCGCTCTTTGTTCGGTGGTTGCTGAAAATAATATTTTCGGTCACCTACATTGTGACCAAAATGCTCTTCGTTTTCACCTGTACTCTACGTTTGAAAGCTTCATTATTCTAGGGTGGATCTCTCCACAATAAAATTTAACAAAATTGCGGGGTTTTCTGGGGTGCATTTAAATTAAAGTAATTTTTTTTTTAAGTTAAATTATTTAATAATAATTGTGTGACTTTTAACCCTATTTCAATAGAGTCTTCTTGTTACAGAGCGAACATTTACTGCATTATTAACTAATTGACTGGCATTAAGACAAATAATAAACTTTTGTTCTTGAGTTTTTCTTCAGCTAAAAATCCTTTAGTAGCCGAAAATGTGTTACACCCGTGTCCTCACAGTCTTACATGGGAATATCATTTACCAAATACCAGATCGTCAAATATTTCAGTTCCATTGTTAGGTAACTTTTCAAGGTGATCACCAAATATTTACTATATTATTTAAAAACCCCACCCTACCCCAGGCTTTTGTGCTTATCTGGAGTAACGTCAAAAAAAAAAAGTAGAGATGGCTGTTTTTTAATGTTTTTTTTTTTTGTAAGGCTATTTTCATTTCCATACAACTGCATTTTTCTCATGGTTTAAAATAAATCTTCCTCAATAAATTCAAGGTGATCACCAAATATTTACTATATTATTTAAAAACCCCACCCTACCCCATGCTTTTGTGCTTATCTGGAGTAACGTCAAAAAAAAAAAGTAGAGATGGCTGTTTTTTAATGTTTTTTTTTTTGTAAGGCTATTTTCATGTCCATACAACTGCATTTTACTCATGGCTTAAAATAAATCTTCCTCAATAAATCACAACTGCATTGTTATATTTTTGTTGAAGGAAACCCTGGCTTAAATATTTGTGTTGCTAAGTCTAAACAGAAGTCAACCCTTCAGAGTACCGAGTACCCCATAAAGACTTATTGCAGTTTTGATGATGGACAATCTTCAGCATAATGGAAGTAATAGTTTTTTGTTTTTTTTACAAAGATCGACACAATAAAACATCTATTTTAGCACTGGGCTTTACTTTTATATCCATTGAAGTGAATTCCAGTGTTTAATGACGTTGATCGATGTTGTCTTTTGTCTTTATTAGCGCCAAGCTAGAACGATCAGAAAACTATTCTCTAGCGACCAGTTATTGATTATGTTACACTAGTTTATTCAACTAGAGTATTATTACAAGGAATTTCTTTGTTTATAAAGAACTGCTCACGATTATGATATAGTTTCAATCCCTGAATTTTATAACCATCTGCAAACAAACAAAAAAAAAATAAATAAATAAACCAACAAAATCGATGGACTTTGAGCTGCCTAGTTTGAGGACCACTACTATAAACATGGGGTTTGTGCGTGTTCAGGTCATCATTCACATTATACTTCACTCGGACAAATGACAAAGATTTCTGACAAGAATACCCTTTGATCTGACTCCAGCTGAAACAATAAATTTAAAATGAAAGACCCAATGGTGGTATGTTTGCCACCTAGACTGTTTCATATCCAGTGTGCAAGTACTTAGCATCGGCGAAACGTGACAAAACGAAAATTGATTTTTATCTCATTTTTGATAAAGTTAAAGGCAAAAATAGTACACTGTACAACCATTTGTTTGAGTTAGTCCAGGCACAGCTAATTAATTTCTAGAGAAACCTGTTTACCTCGGGAATATATTTATTTCTTTAATATAATTTTACATTATCTGCTTTAAACGTGGAAAATGAGCTTAGGTTACTATGTTAATTTTTTTTTTTTTAAATATACTTTTAATTATTTTTATTTTTGCGGATTATTGATTACACGTTTGCGCTTTTAATAGCATGGCTATTTCCACACACAAAAAATATTATAGACCTACATATTTATGAAATTATTGTAATAAACTTTAGCTGAAAATTAAAAAAAAAAGTCCTTAATAACTTCAGTACTTTGTAGTAAAAGAAAAAAACGTGTCATGTGTACCGTCTGACTACTTCAGTGCAATGTCCGTGAACTTACGCTTGGTCTGTTCATGAAATGAAAATGTTCATAATGGTGGAAGAAAAGCGTTAATATGGTATAACCCCCCCCCCACAACCCCCACAGTCTCTTACCCAATTAGTTCTTGGCTTAACGGTTGAACGTTTTCATAACAAAGAATAAACTTGTAAAAGATATATTTAAATAAAAATGTTCATAATGGTGGAAGAAAAGCGTTAATATGGGATAACCCCCCCCCCCCACAACCCCCACAGTCTCTTACCCAATTAGTTCTTGGCTTAACGGTTGAACGTTTTCATAACAAAGAATAAACTTGTAAAAGATATATTCGCCATCGATGAAGTATATTTTAATTAAGCTATTGATTAACTATTGTGTGTATTGATCACTAGATCATTTATTGCGTTATGATATAAGATGGTGATTTTTGTGTCCATAGCTTATTAACGAAATCCAGTTCTTTTGAAACTTTTTAAGTGTTTACGGCCTGCCATAAAGTATATAAAGCATATTTATATACCCGACATAAAGTAATAGAAGATGAAGCATAAAGTGGTCTTTTTTAATATAATTATATATATGCTTGTCTCTGAGCAAAGTTTCGTACATATATTGTTAAAATGGATTACAAATATTTGTACCTAAAGCTTTAATTATCATGCCCGAAAATACTTTACTCAAAAGTTAAATTCCTACATACAAATATAACCCAACATACGTAACCACACCTTTGTGATTCTCTAGTGTTGGGTGACACACCGGTTTCAAGAACTCATAGTATCAATGAATGTAGTCTTAAACGTGTAAGAAGTAGGTTATATATCTAATCTTTAAAGACACAAAGATCGCCTAATTAAAGCAATAAACGTTATATAATGAAAATGAAATTGGAAAAGAAAAAAAGAATATTCAATACAAAATTTAAACTTATATTTAAACTTTGAGCCCCCAAAATGGATTAACAGGCATTAACATAGACGCAAACGGCTCAACGGTCGACCAAGGACTGAGATGGATCGACTCTGTTGAGAAGGATTTACACCATTTGGGGGTTTGCGTGTGGAGGTGGGGAGCCATGGATCAATCCGAATGGAAGGATGTGGTCGAGCAGGCCAGGGCCCTGCATGGGCTGTAGCGCGACTGATGGTGATTTCTGAATGGAAGGGTGTCGTGGAGCTGGGCAGGGCCCTACATGGGGTGTAGCGCAACTGATGTTGATGTCTGAATGGAAGGATGTGGTGGGGCAGGCCTGGGTCCTACATGGGCTGTGGTGCCACTGATGATGATGTCTGAATGGAAGGATGTGGTGGAGCAGGCCAGAGCCCTACATGGGATGTAGTGCAGCTGATGATTGTGACTTATATTTGAATAGCTTATGTATTTTATTGCGAATTTGTGTTACATCGATTATTCTATACAACGTAAAAAAAACAGTACTGTAACAAGTCAGCAAAAAATATCCCTCATTGCAATGTTAATTTGCCATGTTCAGTTTAATGACAAAGATTCAGGAGTTTATGACATGTCTTTTAAAGTTTAAAATCGATTTAATGAAAAAATTGGATCTGTTCATTTGAATGGCACACGTAGAGCTGAAGAGATCATCTCAAGTCTTTATTTTATTCGTCAGACGGAGGGGCCTGAAAGAAAATGCGAAAAAATTATAATTTTTTAGACCGATTTAAAATATAAGGAATAGGATTTGCAGGCAAGTGTGGCGAGGAAGGGCTGGACAGAGAGAGAACGTGTGCGAGATAGAGAGAAAGAGCAAGAGTGAGAGAGGGAGAGAAAAAGAGACAAAGAGAGAGGGAGAGGAAAGAGAGGCGCAGAGAGAGAGAGAGGTGAAGAGAGTCGTTTTCGTCTTAGTAGTGACACAAATCTGAAGAGTTAGATCTAAGTTTATCTCATTTGTAGGGCTGTTATTTGACACTGAATTTTTGAGTTACACTTACAGTTTCTATTTGAGATACTGCAATGGTGTTCTGGTCCAACTAATCTACTTATTTTATTATTTAATTATTTTTTTTCGCTATACTTTTTGAGGGATTTAAAAGAATTTGTTTTTCTCATTAATAACGTTTTTATGTATTTTCCTTTTTTTTTAATGAAAATTGTATTATGATAACGAAGAATTCATTGGCAGGTTTGGGAATTTTCAGGGGAAAAGAGAGTAAAGCTAATTTGTTTCACTATAGATGTATGTCAAGTAAACACTTTGTTCAGGGAATCATCACCAGTGCACAACACCTTCCCCCCGGCCTCAACCCGATGACCCAGTGGTTAAAGTTTGGTTAACGTAGTAAGCTCAGTGGTTGTTATTTTCCGGGGAGTGAATAACCGACTAACTCCATTACCACCCAGGGCGCCACAAACCCTATCCACATCACATCGATCTAGATAAGACACTAAAGCCACACCGTTATCAACCCACATAATGAAAACAAAGCTGTGAGTAAGTATGCATATGTTCATATTCGTGTGTAATTGCTGTCAACAAAACTGCAGCCAACATTGACTCAGTTTTGGGTTTCTATCCATGTTATTATTTGGGCTGATTTCATTTTCATACTTTGACAGAGTAGTGGTTTGCCATGTTGTTTAATTTCAATTAATCCTGTTCTATTTATAATAATCATTTTCTTTTCTTTATATAATAAAATTGATATTGATTATAAAAGAAAAGTTTATTACGGGTGGTTGAGGTGGCTGAGGGGGTTGAGGTGGTTGTGGCGTCTCGGGGTCAACTTGAGGACATCTGTAACAGCATTCCCCAGGGAGCCGATATCTGTTGCTGCAGTACGAGGGTTGGCATGAGTAGTGGAAGCACTCGAAATAACCAGTTGACTTACACACGCAGATTTCACATGGGTCAGGAGTTATAGTTGCACCGACCTAATGAAATAATATCATGCGTTATAGTTGCACCGATCTAATGGAATAATTTCATGAGTTATTGTTGCAAAAATCTAAAGGAATAATATCATAAGTTAGAGTCGCACCAATCTATTGGAATAATTTCAGAACTTAAAAATTTTTATGTATCCTACAATTGGAAAAATATCAGGACCTGATGCACCAATCTATTGGAAGTATAATATTTTAATTTTATGCCGTATGATTGGATATTGTGACGAAAAAAATGAAAAGTAACAATTGACTCCAATTGTCACACCATTTGTAAATGTAAAACATTATTTCACCCGCTCAAAGGCAGACCTAGCCTTGGATTGATGGATGATGTGGAAAAAGATGTACATCATCTGAGAATCCAAGAATGAAGAAAGAAAAAAAAAGAATGTGATCTGAGTGGAAGAAAGTGGTGAGGCAGGCCAAATCATTAGTTGGGCTGTGGCGCCAAAAGGATGGATTGATGGATAGATGGATAAACTTTAGACGCAGATGGCAATAATTTTCATTCACTCCTCCACTTATTAGTAAATATGTTTAATGTATTTTTAAAACGTGAAGATTTGTCTGCATAAAATAAATTTTTAAGCCAAAGTTTATATTTACTTTCAATGTTATCGCCGTGACAGATGAGTCTATAAGCGTTCAGCCAATGTGAGTATTTGTGAAAGATCTCTCTTACCTCATATGAATTAGAGTTGTATGTGCACGTCGTGGCTTGACAGCGGACGTTGGCTAACATACAGCCTACTATGACAGCCAAGAAGTTGAAGCACGCATAAGCAGACATTGTCGCCTTTTCAACTGTTTAGTGACAGATCCCAGGGCCCCGCAGCTACCAGAATGAAAGCTAAATGTGCGACCGAAATATATATAAACTATATTATACTAACTAGTGTACGAGAAACTTTACTATGTGCAAAAATGTAACCTGAATTGGGAAATATGTGTCAATACTTTATGACAGCTGCCAATAGAGATTAAAGAATCAGCTACACGTCACACTCTTCCAACAGTCAATTTAAATCTTCTTTTTAATTTAAAGAAATTTTCTTCTTTCTTACCCCTCTCTCTTTCTCTCTCTTTCTCTCTCTCTCTCTCTCTCTCTCTCTCTCTCTCACTATATATATATATATATATATATATATATATATATATATATATATATATATATATATATATATATATATATATATATATGTATATGTATATATATATATATATATATATATATATATATTTATTTATTTATTTATAAATATATTATATATTTGTGAAAGTTCGTGAGTTTGTGCAATTGTGCGTTTGTGTTAGTGTGAAAAATGTTCGCATTTTTAGTGTAATAATATCTTACACAAGTATGTGAAGTATGTTTACTTCAACTGTGGACACATATTTCACCTTCACTTTAACCATGGACACATCTGTGAACGGTATTTCAACTGAGGGCACATCTGTGAGCGAAGATTCAACTGTGGATACAACGGTGGACACGTCTGTGAACGTGGATTTAATTGTGGATTCAACTCGGGACAGATCTGTGAATGTGGATTCAACTGTGGACACATCTGTGAATGTGGATTCAACTGTGGACACATCTGTGAATGTGGATTCAACTGTGGACACATCTGTGAACGTGGATTCAACTGTTGACACATCTGTGAACGTGGATTCAACTGTGGACACATCTGTGAACGTGGATTCAACTGTGGACACATCTGTGAACGTGGATTCAACTGTGGACACATCTGTGAACGTGGATTCAACTGTGAACACATCTGTGAACACATCTGTGAACGTGGATTCAGCTGTGGACACATCTGTGAACGTGGATTACATTTGGACACATCTGTGAACGTGGATTCAACGGTGGACACATCTGTGAACGTGGATTCAGCTGTGGAGACATCTGTGAACGTGGATTAAACTGTGGACACATCTGTGAACGTGGATTACATTTGGACACATCTGTGAACGTGGATTCAACGGTGGAAACATCTGTGAACGTGGATTCAACTGTGGACACATCTGTGAATGTGAATGAAACTTTCATTGTTGATCCCATTCAGTAAATCTATTCCTATGGATATGTTCGCATTAATGGCAGCTACAAACCCGATGTTGATTTCAATATTGATTTAATCTAACATTACATAGTTCACGTGCAATTCATATTACTCTTGATGAAAGAAGTAGTCGATAAACCTATGCAACAATATTAAGTCGGGTCAAAGTAAAGCATCTGTTTCTGTGCATTACGTTGAACTCAAGCTGTAATGCGTTATTTCAAGTCATTCATCAATTGTGTTTTTGACAATACTCTCTTTTGGCGAGTTACCTTAAAATAACAACATTTTATAATAGCTAATATCGTGATATTAAACGAATGCACCAATCTGGCACATATGACTGGCCTCGATCAATACTAAGTTTGTTGATGTGTTTTAAACATAATTTTCTTAGCGTCTACAAATAAATCTCAAACGTGATTATTATTATAATTGTTTTCATTTTTTTTTCTATTTTTTGTATCGAAAGGGACTGGGTGGGAGAAGGAGAAAGAGAGAGGGGTGGGGGTGAGATTATCAAAATACCCATATAGCTGTACAGTTGTTTTTTTTTAAAATATGTATATTTTTGTTTAAACTATTAGTTATCCAAGGTAAATTTTAAGAAAAAACACATGTTATAACGTCTCATCATTACGGGCACTCACCAACACTAGATTTTTCAGCCGCTGGCAGAGTGTTAACACACTCGATACAGCAGACACGGTTATAACATAGGTTTAGTTTGGTTTTGATTTTTATGTGATCTAATAATGCTGACTTGGTTTCCGCCATGTTGTGTCCATCCTTGCCAGATATTTTTGTTTCTTTAGGAGATAATAGTCTGTTCAATATCATCTTTCTACACCCCGACTCACCAAGAAACGATTAGATTGACGCAGTCATGTCAGAATAAAAAGACCACGAAGTGTGATGCAGGATTTAAAAGATTATAGTGAAAATTAACCAATCCCAACCAAGTATTGACACAAGCGTCTTCATCTCCCTCGATCTTACTTTTCAGTACTTGTCAATATTTTAACAGTGACACGGTTATGGACATAGCGAAGTGATACAATAGATCGAGTACAAAGGACTTATCGAACAAACTTCAAATTCCGCACAGAGTACAATTCAAACCTTTTTTTTTTCCTTTTTTAAATTGAATCCAAGATCTGGGGAATGTTTAAATTGATTTGTTATCTTTAATGTAAAGCCCTGGGCACTGTGTCAGTCATCGGTATAGGCATCTTCGTGACCCATTTATTGACCTAGGGGTAGACCAGGGGCGGGCAAGCTTACGACCCGCGGGCTGCATGCGGCCCAGCAACTCATATTATGCGGCCCTCGAAGGCATTTAGAATTTTTTTTTACAAACTTTGATTTTAGGTTATTTTGTTGAATTCGCATAATTTCATCTACCGTCATGATTGCTTTAACATTTTTGATCAACTTTCTTTCTAATTTTCTTTTTTTTTAAACAGTCCTTGCTTTCATCGTGTTGTGCTCAAATGAGAATTTACCGATTTTAATAAAGAGAAATGTTTATCGACATGTAAAAATTGGACATAATGTACATACAGCCCCCACCCCCCCCCAAATTAGCTTTACATTTGTCAATGTGGCCCTCCGCACAAAAAGTTTGCCCCGCCCCCCCCCCCATGGGTAGGCGATAAATGACGCTTCAATTTTAATGGCGTCACGATTGTGGCGAGGATCATAAGCTAAAGTATAAGTTAAAGCAATTAACCAGAGGACTCTTAAACCTGGATCAGGGTCGTTTCCAGAGGGGGGGGGGGGCACGTTCGTCAGTGTGAAAATAATAATTGACCGGAGAGCAACTCCATCTTGCGCTTTTTGAATTCCGCAAGTGTGTGCTGGGATGGCCTGCTGGGATGGCCTGCTGGGATGGCCTGCTGGGATGGCCTGCTGGGATGGCCTGCTGGGATGGCCTGCTGGGATGGCCTGCTGGGATGGCCTGCTGGGATGGCCTGCTGGGATGGCCTGCTGGGATGGCCTGCTGGGATGGCCTGCTGGGATGGCCTGCTGGGATGGCCTGCTGGGATGGCCTGCTGGGATGGCCTGCTGGGATGGCCTGCTGGGATGGCCTGCTGGGATGGCCTGCTGGGATGGCCTGCTGGGATGGCCTGCTGGGATGGCCTGCTGGGATGGCCTGCTGGGATGGCCTGCTGGGATGGCCTGCTGGGATGGCCTGCTGGGATGGCCTGCTGGGATGGCCTGCTGGGATGGCCTGCTGGGATGGCCTGCTGGGATGGCCTGCTGGGATGGCCTGCTGGGATGGCCTGCTGGGATGGCCTGCTGGGATGGCCTGCTGGGATGGCCTGCTGGGATGGCCTGCTGGGATGGCCTGCTGGGATGGCCTGCTGGGATGGCCTGCTGGGATGGCCTGCTCAATCACAATCTCTTCCAATATCCTACAGTGTGACTCAGCGTCATTGACGTCTGGGTCTACGTCACTGCGCAGTCTCGTTATAAATCACAACAGAGGGGAGGTGGTCCAAAAAGGGACTAATATATTAAACACAATCACGATTCGAAATACATCTCATGAAAATGCTAACAAACTTTGAACTAATATCTTACGAATCTCAATATTTCAATTAATAGCTTCTATGGATAATCTCATTTACTTCTTTACTTAATAATGTATCAACACACTATAGACTCTCTTCAGGCTTCTCAAAACAAACTTCATGAATCGACTCCCGTTTTATTCATCACCTTCCATTGTTTCACTCTTCTCTCCTAGGTCAGTTTTGCTCAAGTCCCAATAATCTGTATATTATATAACTAATAAGTACCATATCACTTATCTCCCATATAAATCTATTCATACCCGTGACAAGGCTGCACCCGTGCTCACGGTCCATGTGTTCGTATTAGTCTATGTCAAGGTCGTGGTTTGTAAGCGAGACGAACCACTGTGTACAGGTCATTTTCCAGACGTGGACACCTTCATTATATTTTTCTTCAAAGTCAGACGGACCATTTAAAAGGACAGCATGAGCTGCTCAGGGCTGCCACCTACATTTAGAGAATCCCTTGGTCTTATGCAACCTAAACTAAATTTGTATTTTATATACAAATAGTTCAGGTCCGCAGGCGGACCAACATAGAATTGTACAACATCCAAGACATTTGATGCACACAAGGACAGACAATAGAGAATCCAGACAAAGAGAACTCTAATTTACCGTCAATTGGCTTCATTAATTACTCCAATGGCTTATTATGAGCTCGTTTTACCGTCAATTGGCTTCATTCATTACTCCAAGGGCTTATTATGAGCTCGTTTTACCGTCAATTGGCTTCATTCATTACTCCAAGGGCTTATTATGAGCTCGTTTTACCGTCAATTGGCTTCATTCATTACTCCAAGGGCTTATTATGAGCTCGTTTTACCGTCAATTGGCTTCATTAATTACTCCAATGGCTTATTATGAGCTCGTTTTACCGTCAATTGGCTTCATTCATTACTCCAAGGGCTTATTATGAGCTCGTCTCACTTTCACCCCTACTCCCTTATTATGAGCTCGTCTCACTTTCACCCCTACTCCCTTATTATGAGCTCGTCTCACTTTCACCCCTACTCCCTTATTATGAGCTCGTCTCACTTTCACCCCTACTCCCTTCGGTCTCTCTCTCTCTCTCCCTCTTTTTCTACTCTCTCTCTCTCTCTCTCTTTCTTTCACTCTCTCGTTCTCTCTCTCTCTTTTTCTCTCTCTCTCTTTCTCTTTTTCTCTCTCTTTCTCACTCTCTCTCTCTCTTTCTCCCGTCACTCAATATATTTCTCTACACCTCGTTGCTATGCTATACTTCTCTCACTCATAAATACTTGTATCCACAAATTGACATTATTTTGTTATATTTTCTTGCAAATTAGCTCTAGCTTTTATAATCCACCAATGTGTCATGTAATTTAACCGTGTCAAATTTAATCCTAAAGCTTCCAATTTTGTCTAGTTTAGTCCACTAGTGTCGAGAACACGCACTGAAGTCCAGTTTAACCAACTTTTGTCCAGCTTAATCCACTCGTATCTATCTATATATCTAGTTAACAACAACTGACTTTCCATTTGACACAGTAAATTTCATTGATCTATATTTGATAGTAATGCGGCTCATTTTATTTTTTAGAAGCCACATTGTGTTTTTAAGTTAAACACGTACTGTTAATCTCAAGCCGACTCTCCTCTGAGTACATCTTAGTAAACAATTAGATTGTTTTTATTATTATTATTTTTAGTGGTGGTTTTATATAGCGTGGTACCCCAGCGGTACTCCAGCCTAGGGCTGGGCTCACCACGCTGTGTAAACGATTTAACAAACATAATCATGAACTTAAAAATAGATACAGGTATCACGGCACTATTGCTTGTATTTAAAACATTTTTTGTTCTTTTCATTCTGTTAAGGTGAGGCCTAGTCAATCAGATAATACGCCATCGTCCATGATAAGGGTCCTGTAGAATAAAACAATGTATTTTGTATTTTTTGTGTGTATGTATGTTTTTATTCCAATTTAACTATTACTGGGAAGTAGTGAAGGAGATCGTCGAGTCATTTAAGCCAATTAAATATATATATATATATATATATATATATATATATATATATATATATATATA